TGTATTCTGACCACATACGATTCATAAGTAATTTGAAACTTTAAAATAGGTGCAGACGTAATTGAGTTATATACGGGGTTTTACAACCGTTGCACTATAATTATAAGCAACGAACGGCAAATTATAAGTTAGACATTAAGAGCATCTCATGCGGAATTTCCTCCATTTAAGGTTTGAATTCAAATATATGCTTCCTGAATTTAAAAAATGTTCAACAATGCATTCCATATATCGGTACCTAATTTGTTGACGTATTTGTAATCTTATATAGCGAATTGGTAACATCATTGAACTCTATCTTAAACGGCATATACATTATAACTTTTTATCGGGTTAACCTACTTTATGAGGATTTATTTGACATATATACAAAGGAATTGACAATTGAAACCCACTGGGTTAACGAAATCCGGTTAAATGTAAACGTACTATTATATGGAATATTTTTGATGGATGTTTTGGTATATCCTAAACAAGGTGTATGCATCAGATACAACAACAAATATTTTACAAAAACAACATTTTTGTTATACAAATAAAATTGTCACGTTGACAATAAGTTTTTGACAAAAATAAACAAAAACAATTATTAATTTTTGACGAAGTCTGCATAATTGGTGGTGGCGCTGTTAACACTCGACAATCGGGAGGCGGGCCTATAACTTAAAACACAAAAAAAAAATTATTAATTTATTTTTGTCAAGATCTATTCTTTGAGGAATAATTAATGAATTTGTGTATTCTTGGGTTTTAGGCCAGTGAAAAATAAAGTTTAAGACCTGGTCGCGATTAATTTTAAGTTTCCCACATGTAGCCATGGATCCTTGTGATGTTGTTTATATTGTGGATTACAATCTATTTTTTCTATGGAGTGGCTTCAAATCTTGCCTTCTTACAGAAAATTGAAGGACACAAATCCCCGGCCAAAGACAAAATAATGGAAATTGTGTTGGCGTATTTAACCTCCGCCGAGAATTGTGACAAGCACCAAGGGGCCGATTCCAATATAGGCTAACATAATCACCTCGATTTTATGAGTAGCTGGGATTTCTGGACAGATTTCCACACATAACATAAAATATGTGGACCAATCGGCGAACGGGGTTATAACTGAGACTAGGTTTCCTTTCCGCCCCCCTCTATGAATGTAGTTTTCTTGAATTTTTATTATTAAAAAAGACTAAATTTAAAAACCATTTTTGAAATCGAAATGTAATATTGAAATCGTTTTTGACAATTTACTTTACAAACAATAAAGAAAAAAGTTTGAAACCATATGATTGTCACTTGCACCTTATTGAATACACCTTGATCCTAAACATAAAAACGTAGGTCGATGTATTGACATTTATTTCACAAATTTATGTATAAGATATATACCATTGGTTTTGTTCAAAGAAATTGGTCCATAGTCCGATTTTAGGTACGTTGAAGGTAGAGGGAAAATGTGAGCATGCAATGATCGGGAATATTGTGTGCATCTTTCATAGAGTTCTCTTTTTTATATAATTAATATATATTAAAATAAATATTTTTCAAGGCTATGACAATCCAATTGATTGTATGAATTAGGATTATTGACTTCCCTCAAAAATCCTAGTTCTAGTCCTAGTTCACACGATAGCTATACACTCACAGAGAAACGTCACAAAATGTTGATCCGATTGGGTATTAGTTTTTGAGTATTCGTGTCCGCCATTAGCAAAAACGCTGTTTGGAGAAAAACGGGTTTAAAGTTTGAGAAGCCCCCTTGCCATCACTTGATGCTAACAGAATAAATTGTTGATATTTGATTTGGTTAAATTAAATCAAAATACAAAGTTAAATTTTTTGAAAACGAGGGACCACCCCCTTAATGAGTGACTATACATTTTTTACGCTATTTTTATATACATATATAGATTTTCCATATCTCGTAACAAAAAATGTTATAAATGTATTACAACATTTTAGATTTTGTTAGGTGGTAGGCAATGCTCCAAAACATTTAAATGATAAATATTTGAATCTCATCAATGAACCAATACAATTTTCTAATTTCTATGGAAAGTTAAATAGTCGGACTTTAGATAACGACGCTAATCATGATTATCCAGGAAAGATTTTTTTATATATTTTATTTAAGTTAAGTTTTTTTAAGTGGAGTTAATCGAAGTGTGCACTGAAAGCCTAGAAATTACATTATAGGAGCTACTTGGTGCTCCATATGGGAGCTATATCTAAATCTGAACCGATTTTTACATAATCTAACACACGTTATTCTGCAAAATTCGGTTATTATGCAAAATTTCGTCTAAATCCGACAAACTTTCGGAGTTTGGTGGCCTATTTACATAAAATCGGTCGAAAGTATATATGATAACTATATTTCTCAATTTAGTACGTTGTACAAAATTTCTCCATCGGAAAAACCTTCGGTGCACCGTTGTCATAAAATCAGACAAAAATGTATACGGAAGCTATATCTAAGTCTTATTATGGTTCAATTTAATACGATATACAAAATTTCGTCTCAGTAGGACAAACCTTTGGAGTTTGGTGCACCATTTACAAAAAGTCGAACGAAAATATATATGGGAGCTATATCTAAATCTGAACCGATTTTACCAATTTCAATAGGGTTCGTCCGAGGGACAAATAAATGAGCTCTACTAAAATTCTTCTCATTCGGGTAATGAATGCGACCTGTACTTTGTTTATCATTGAACATGGACAGATAAACGGACGGACAGACAGACATTCATAATTCCACTCAGAATGTGATTCTGTGTATATCATCAAAAGGGACCATGGGTCCGTATCGTTTTCTTTTAACTGTTACAAACAAATGCACACATACATACTAATCTGCACCACAATCTGGTTATTCACTCTGATGAAACACCTTATTATTGCAACATGAATATGTTGTTAAAAACGATGTCTTTATAAACCATTTCGACTGTACATAATTCCATTTATTTTACATAAATGCAATTAGGTATTTGGTTAGTAAACTTTTGCTTAAAATTGTTGAATCTAACAGTTGGTCTTTGATAAAGAACAATTCAACAACATACCGTAAACGCTGTACATATACACAAGCTAGAGCTGTGAATGGATACCTTCCGCTTATCTAATCTCTAACATTTGCTGATAAGGCAATACAACTCTTCGGGGAATGCTAAATTTCTCAGTGGGGGAAATTTTAGTTCTCCAAAATTCGGCCGTAAGAGCGGTCATCACTTTGCTAAATAGTTGAAATAGTTTACTGTTGCGGATATGTAAACTAAACAGCGTGCTTGGTATAAAAATACAAAATTTTATAACTGAGTTTTTGACAGTAATACATTTATAGTTTTTGTGTACATAACTCCGATTACTTGCCAACTAGCCATGACACACCTTTTTGCCGTTACATTAATCACAGTATTATCAGTATGTTGGGGATATGTGTTGGAAGAAAAATCGCTGACAACTACGAATATAGAATCTGAATACGAGTACGTAAGTATGAATGGGACGTTTATTTATAAGTATGCATCATACATTACATTTTTGACACCACGTAGTTAAAAATAATAAAACCTCCATATCCAAAAAACATACTTTTGAATTTTATATTGTTGTCGTATTTGAAAGAGTTTCACTTTTATCGCTGATAAATGTGGTTACAAAATTTCATAAAAGCATTAAACAGGGATTAACTGTGACTTTAATAAAAAAATATTTTGAAACAGTTTTTTATAATATACATTTGTATTTAAATTTAGCATAATATTATGTTATTGTACCGTACAGAACTATTTTGTGAGGGTATTATAGGGTTTTATTCCCCCCAAAAGTTTCTAACGCCACGAAACCAGTTTAATTGACCTAGGCATGTGTGTCCATTATAGCGTGTAATAAAAGTATAGGTCACAGTTATGCACAAATTGTCACGAAATTTTGCTTGTAGGTCCAGTTTTGGCATTTGCATTTTGGTAATAAATAGTTGATCGACCTTTTTCGCTTGTCGAAAATCTATGTAACCACGCCTTTCTCTACATTTACCGTTATAAAACTAATTTTCGAAGTGACCCAGAAAAACCAAAGTTTTTTTCGTGGTCCAGGGACTCCAACTAAACAGAATTGGTACTGTGAAATAACCAGTTGTAAGGCGGCTAAAAAGTCATCTGGAGCATTGTTAAAAAACTCGGAGCTTATCCGATCTTCGCCAGCAGATTTATTTTCTTATAGTTTGCCTAGTAGTTTTCTGAGTTCCGGCAATGTAAATTCTCTATCCAGGTCTTCGTCCATCTTATAGGGATGTGTATAATGCATGCAGGAAGCTTGTATATCCGGATTAAGTAACGACGCATAATATACTTATGGAATCCGCTCCTTAAAGTTTACTAACTAATATTACTTATATATACTAATTACTAACAAAATTGAAAAATGTTTGGTATTAAAGATCAATCTGTAAACTGATTATTGACATACTGTATAGATTGTGGGGTCTCCGTCGAATATTTCGAGGGGTTGCAAACGAATGACAAATTTTATATTTCCCAAATTTGGTGCGCTCCATTCCGAATTCCCAAAAAAATATTGGGAATATAATTCAAGCACATATAGCCTTGTGGATTGAAAACGAAATGAGATCGTACGTGTTTTTGAAAAAGTTAAAAAAGAACGCTGAAGTAATATTTAACGTGTTTCTACAATATTTATTTAAAAAATACAGTATTTACATTAGTTTTTATAGTAAAATTAAAGAAAATAAAAAAGGGCTCCTCCTGGTCTGCAGCTGTCCACAGCTTGCACACACTTTGTCTTCCAGGACTTTCATTACTCTCCACAATATTTTACACATTGTTCTGCGATCAACACTTATTTTTAAATCATTTGTCACTACCCTCTGAAATCCACCAAAAGCCAGGAATCTTAAGGTAGCAGCTAACTGCAGGCTTTAATATAAAAAAAACGATCATTTATTTTTGTATAAATTTAATTTTTGTGGTTTTCTTTTTATTAAGGACGAAACAACGATGTCCACCTCCATATATACCAAAAGGTTTCCCGATAACTGCTCACATAGGGAAAGAAGGAAGGTACAGCCAATACACAATCGTCATTCAAGTCTAAAGAAGTGTTGTCCGCTGGGTGAGAGCTTGAGCATGTCGGAGGAAGGTGAAAGCAGAGCCTTGTGTGTATCGACAAGCCGATTACTTCAACATAAAGTTTTAAATGTCACTCTCTACGACAATTGTATAGAAGACATGGAGACTGACATTAATCTTCCTGTCGAAATCGGGAATCCTTGCAATACGTAAGTAAAATTTTTTATACAATATATAGTTGGAAGTCCCGCTAATTCGTTTGAAATTGGCATAATAGAAATAAGTATGTACTAAATCCCAGCAGTTTATAATGATGACAGTCAGCTGTTATGTTTTCGTATACATGCACATTTTACTGGTTTCATAATTTTTTGGTCAAAATTTTGACAATTCTAATAGAAATTGCTCTCTATTAGGCGAAAAATGTCAAGAATGTGTTTGCAAGTGAATAATTATCAAACATTTATAGATGGTTGAAATAACACTAGCGAACTAGTAGGCACCAAGCAAAATAGTTCGTTATAGAAGTTCTTTATATCCATGGTAAACCAAACAAAGGCTTCACATAAAAAGTATTTATTCATTTAGAAACGGGGTTGGCTTGTGCCCTTTTTGACAATACTTAAGGTGCTTCTCTTCTTCTTTGATGAACATCGTCAGTATTACGTGTATTTGTAGCAAATTCGTTATAACCAAATTAAAATATATGAAAACATATTATTTTTGATTTTAATTTGTTTTCTTGATTGTCTCTTGATTTTTATTATAACGGTATACGACTCTCTACCGTTAGTTTTTGCGTGTTTTACTCTCTTTGCCTTATATTTGGAATCATTCGATAAAAAATTTATAAGCGTTCGAAACAAATCTTGAATTAAAGTTATATATAAATGTCAGGCAAAAGGTTGTCCTATGATGTTGGGAAAGTATTATCGAATTGTCGGAAATGTTTTCAGTTATACGAATGACTAGAGTAACTTCGGGTAATGTGGACTATGCGTCAAATGTGGACCACCCCCCATATCTATGAAAACGCTTGAAATATGTCAATGCCGCCTTGATATATGTTTTCATAATTAGTAAAAACAAACATCTAACATGCTTTTTAAGGGTCCCACACACTATACATCATTCCGTCATGCCGAGGAACCCCTTTGTATAAGTTAAGAACATAAATGTTTAATTATTTTTTTCACAACATATTCACTCACAACACGAGCAAGTCAACCCAATGCCATAACAGCAGATCCAGTTACAACACGAGCAAAACAACATAACACGCGCAACTCGAAACAATAACACTTTTCCACAATCATCAAATATCAGTGGCGTGATCGTGGGAAATACAAAGTCAGCATAAATAATAATTCCGTAGGTGACATTTAGAGTTAAGTTAATCAGTTACAAATTTGATTTCATAATAAACAAGCTGTGTTACAACCGCTCCGGTCTTTTTAAAAAAATAAAATTTTTTAAATAATTGTTTAATTGGCGCCCAACGTGGGGCTCCCTCTTAAACTGTAAAGGATAAGACCCCTCAATAAAAGATCGGGATTTGTATACTCAAATAAAAAATCCAAGGAAACGTCGCGTCCAAGTAGCATTATAGCAAAAGGGCCTTGGTACGCGAACTCGGATTTAGTTTAGAAATAAATGTAAAAAGATATAAATGACAATCAACTTTTAAATAAGTGGAAACAAATAAATTAAAATAAATTTTAAAAGAAGAAGAAAAAAATATTGACAATAAATAAAGAAAATAAATAGAACGAAGTTAAAATTGAAAGTGACATTCGATGAATAGTAATGAAAATTAATTTTTAAAATTAGTGGAAATAAATAAATTGAAATAAATTTTAATAGAAGAACAAAAAATGAATATTGACAAGATATAAAGAAAGTGAAAGGAACGAAGTTAAAAATTAAAAGTGAAATTCGATGAATAGTAATGAAACAAAAAATACATGAAATACACATTTAGAATAAATGGACAAATAAAATATTGAACTGTGACGATCAATTAAAGAACATTTAAGAAAAAAATTGTATGTGAACATAAACTAGATCAAAAAGTGTAAAAGAAAAAATAATGAAAAATTAAACTATTATCAAGATATCAAAATAAAAACTGAGGAACTATAGAAATTTACAAACAAGTCTACAAAACTTAACATAATGTAAAGCAACATACGGCGAATAATCATAAACAGAACAAGCCAGCAAACACCGAAGCAAAACGAAATGAATATGTTAACGTTATTAAAGTAAGCTTATAGTATAATATTGCTGTTAAATTTTAGTACTTATTAAATAGCAGAATGTTTTGCAAATTTTTTCGCCTCTACTTATTCATCTGCAGTTTGTCCAAATATAAACTCATATCCTTATGAGCTATCCAAAATAGATCAAATATATATGCCTTTTTTACAAAGTCAAGATGTTGCTAAAAATTTACATACTCTAAAACCAATTAAACTTCCAGGTCCAGATGGTATATCTAGCATAATTCTCAAATATTGTTCTGACACTTTAGCAACGCCTCTTACGTTGCTATTTAATCATTCCTTAAATTTTGGTTATTTTCCCACTATATGGAAGAAATCTTTTATAGTACCGTTGCACAAGTCTGGTAGTCTATCTAATGTCTCAAACTACAGAGGAATTGCAAAATTAAGTGATATCCCAAAATTGTTTGAAAAATTAATTACTGCTGTTATTTCTCACAAAATTAAATCCATTTTAAGTCCATATCAACATGGCTTTCGTAGTGGTCTTTCAACCATAACAAATCTTATAGAGTTTACTTCAATTGTAATAAAGGGATTTGTTCAGCGAAATCAAACTGATACCATTTATACAGATTTTAGTAAAGCTTTTGATAGGGTCAACCATGAACTCTTATTATATAAATTAGATAATATGGGTTTCAGTATAAACTTAGTCAAATGGATATTATCTTACTTACAAAATAGATTACAGTTAGTTTTGTTTGAAGGATGTCTCTCAAAATCGATTAACGTACCTTCAGTTGTTCCACAAGGAAGTCACCTCGGGCCGGTTCTTTTTCTATTGTTTATAAATGATTTGCCAACTTCTGTAGTACATTCTAAATTGTTAATGTATGCAGATGATGTAAAGTTATTCATTACCCATAATTCTGAGAAACAATCCATTTTACTCCAAAATTATTTAAATAACCTTTTTCAGTGGTGCAGATTAAATTGTATGGATTTAAATTTGAACAAATGTAAACATATGTGTTTTTCTAGAAATTCTTCATTGATGAGGCAATACAATATTAACGGTTCCGTTTTATCAACAGTTGAAACATTCGTGGATCTTGGTATTTTAATGGATCCAAAGTTAAATTTTAACAATCATGTCATTTCAATGGTAAATAAAGCATATGGTATATTAAGTTTTATAAAACGATGGGCCAAAGAATTCTCGGATCCTTATATAACAAAACAACTATACACGTCTCTTGTTAGACCTATATTAGAATATGGTTCTGTTGTATGGGATCCTCAATATGCAATATATTCCGATAAAATCGAATCAGTGCAGAAACAATTCTTACTTTTTGCACTGAGGGGTTTACATTGGAATAGTGATTTTTTATTGCCCTCTTACACTAGCAGGTTAAAATTAATTCGGTTACCTACATTAAAAAGTAGACGTATTATGTATTATATTAAATGGTAATATACCCTCTGATTTCCTAATTTCATCTATTAGAATAAATGTTCCTTTTCGATCTAGTAGATATTATCAACTATTACATGTAGATTTTCATCGCACAAATTATTCTATGGGAGATCCACTCAGTAAAATTTGTATTGATTTTAATTCTGTGTACTCTAATGTAGATTTTAGCAAGAATTTTGAATTTATAAAATCTAATATAATTGTACTTTTAAATGAGTAGTGCAACTTAATAATAAACTGGCTGTTGGAGTAGATTCTGTAGCTGGTTTTCTATTCCCTTCTCACATTCCACCATGATGCGGATTATGGTGTGTACGTGATCCCTACGAAAGGGGAGGTCGCCCCCTCGGTCGGCAGGGGTGGGAAAGTGAGGCGTGGGAACGTTCGAAAAAAAAATTAAATTTATTTGAACAACTTACGAACGAACGGACTTACGAACGTCTTCAACTTGTTTAGGATTAACTCAAACACAAATGATGTGATTAAAATTATGAAAAGTTTCTTTCCACTAGACAGCACAGAGGAAATTGGCGATCAACCTATAAAGTCAATATTAAGGAATTGGACTCGATTCCAGATATAGTTAAAAGTTTAAGAGAATTCAGTGATAGACCAGGAGAATTTAATTCATGGCGTAAGTCAGTCGATAGAATATTAGAACTTTTTGATTCTATAAAAGGTACTAGTAGGTATTTTGCCATCCTACATACCATTAGATCAAAAGTTATTGGTGACGCTGATACCGCACTGGAACCTGCAGAACTCCTTTAGACTGGGGAAAAATCAAAAAGTGTCTCATGATGCACCATTCCGATAGGCGAGACATAAGTACACTAGAATTCCAAATGAGTTCCTTGAGACAAAACAGTATGACGGTTACTGAGTTTTATCGTGCTGTGTACCAGCACCTAGACAAATAGCATGCCTAGATTATGACGACAAAAGTCTTGCAAATATGACGAAATCATACAGAGATAAAGCTTTAGACACATTTATTAGAGGGCTTAGGGGTGAGTTATCAAAATTATTAGCAATTTCCGCTCCCAATTCACTGCCTCAAGCATTCCATATCTGCCTCAAATTGGATAATATGAACATAAGAACCAACCATGTCTTCGGGCAGACGAGAACGGCTACTAATTTCGGAAACTATGCAACACCTAAACAAGGATTCTATCCAGAACTTGTTAATTTTGAGGGACAGAACAAAATTTTAGACAACATTTTAATAATAATCGTTCTCAATTAAATCCGGCTCAACATTACCAATATGATACAACATATAATAAGCCTCAATCCATGGAAGTAGATCAATCCATGCAAACGAGACACGTTAACTATGCAAATAGACCTCAATTTAATAATTTTCCATTCAAAAGGCCAGCAACCGCAAGCTTTCAAACGTAGCTCATCCAGAGCAACATCGGACGCTGCTGACTGTAATGAAGATTAGGAACAAATTGTCAACCAAAACGACGTAGAAGATTATCTTAATCCATAC